GTAACTGCTCGGCTCCTGCCTATAATTTCTAGAAGGAACAATCTAATCTTCCTCTTCCATCACCTGTGGCTGTGGATGTCAAAGTGACATCCACTGGGGAAAGCTAGGTCAACGTGTGCAATGCAGCCTCTGATTTTCAGGGACTTACCCACCGGCTATAAAACACTTGCTCCAAGCTGGAGCATAGCAGCACCTCCAAAGGCCCCACCTGGCAGCAATAAAGAGAGCAAGTCTGTTTATAATTTTTAAAGAGTATCTGTTTAGCTGCTGGGAGTTACTGGGGAGCAAGAAAAGGAGCAGTCGAGTGATTCTGTAACTCAGACATTTCAGCATCACAAACCATGGCCAGGACGACAATACAGGGGCTCGTGGAATCTAAGATTGTCATGTTTGGAAATTGGCTGCTGCCTGTGCACAGTCTTTTGTTTTCAAAGTGCTTTGTGCATTGGTAACTCCATAGGAACACAGCTGCATCTAGTGACTGTTTGCACGAGAGACTACGTCGGCTTGGAAGAAATTACTATAATCACCCCGATACCAGCTGCTTTAGAAGACTCCCTACTATGCAACTACTGTAGCTAAGCTAACTGGCTCTGATGATATCGGAGCCCTAAAGCCAGAGAGGTTTCCCAATAAGTGGGCTTCATATGAGTCATGCTCAGCCTTTTTCAAAGGAGCACACAGGATATTTTTCTGTAATGCAATAAAGGAAAATCAGATGCAGCTCAGCTCACATTTTGAGATGTCAGGGTGATGATACAGATGAATAAACAAAAAGGGCTGCATTGTGAAGACTGGAAGTTGCTCCTTGGCATAGTCTGCTGTGCCCATGTGGTGTAAGACTCTGGTATCATGGTCCCTGCGTTGGCACAGGGGAGAATTAAGGGGAGGAAGGATGCTCTCCTGGAAAGATCACTGGACTGAGACTCTTGAGACTTGGTGCATTTCCTGGCTTAGCTGTAGACATCCTGTCTGACTTTTGTAAATCTAGCCCTAGTGACTTGCCCAGCATATTTAGGCTCTAAAGATAGATTCATACATGGATTTACAAAAGCAGCTGAATAAGGCTCCCCCGCTGACTTTCAATGAGAATTAGGCACCTTGCCTGTATCCGAAGAACATGATAACTGCATCCAATATCACAAACTGGCCTTTCAAGCCCAGCCGGGATGAATTAGAGCACAGAGGTTCTCTGATATTTGCTGCCACTGCTGCCTCACTGGCAGCATCCCCTACAAGTCAGTCTCACACAGGCAGCCGCTTAGCAGCATGGAGTGTCAGGGCCAATTGCTCAGAAAGAGTCAATACAAATGAGAGGTTGGAGGGACAGAATAAAGTACAATATCCTGGAGCAGACAATGGGGAGGGGTAGCTAGGTCTCTCTTGTAGCAGATCCTCTTTCACGTGGGCTCTTGTCTCCGGGACAAGGCTTTGTCAAAACTAACATCTGGATCCAAAGACTACAGAAGGCGATGGCAAGGCTCATTACTTTAATGGGCTTTTGATCAGGCCACAGGTGATTTGACAACCATCCAGCGTTTCTTTACAATAAACACAACAGCAGATATCATTGTGGCACTAATGCTAATCAGTCCACTTGCTAAAGATACCAACTCCCTACTTCCCTCTTACGTCAATAGGATTTCATTCTCTTGCAGCATGGAAGAAATGAATGTTAACAGTACTTCAATTTGTGCATCCAGTAAATAAAAACTCAAATCTGATGCAAATCTGGTCTGGTGTTTTCAGTGAGCTTTCAATCTCTCCCAAATGGATGTGATTGGATCAAAAGTAGACCAAGAGAGACTTTGCAAACATCATTTAGTGGCTCAGGCTGAGTCAATGCCCAGGAAAATCCCAGTTCCTCAGGCTTTGCCCCCTGCATAACAACATACAAGTAGCCTGTCAGTCCCTGCTCTGTCATTGTCTTTCACACCTAGCTGCAACACAGAAAGAGTTCAGGGAGAATTTCCCACATGTATAGCTTTATTGGAATTCTGCAACCAAGAATGTAACCATTTTACATTCTGTTTATAGCCATCTTTTGCCAGAGTCCTCAGCTAAATGCTCGCTTTTGAGCTAGGTTTTCAGAAAGAAATGTGTTTTTTGTAATCTACTTAAGTAACAAAAACAGATATTACTTTGCAAAGAGCCTCCTTTAAACCACTTGAAAACATGGGAATTAGACATGGTGTGTTTCAGGCCTTTATAACATGTTTGTGATTTTAAATCAGACTATTTTTCAAGTGTGCTGGTCTGGGTTGGAGGCCTTTGACCATACATTGCAGAACCACATATGGAAATCATACTCTAGGTCCCTTGCATTATTTTTGTCTCTGTGAATGTTCAAGAATCAGTCTTCCCAGTTTTTCAGGTTTGGCAGCCATTCCACCACTCTCAATGCAGTCCTTTGTGACCATGGGTCGCTTTTGGGGTGTCTGCCACTCTACTGAAAAATAAGAAATGAAAAGAGTTAAAAGCCATAGTGATACCCCAACTATCCCTATGAATTCCAGAATTTATTATTTGTATTGCAGGAGTGACTATGAGTCCCACCCATGGACCAGGGTGCGTCCTATTGTGCCACGTGCCATACAAATATGCTAAGGGGCAATTTCAATTCAATTTTGAATTCTAATACTGTCCTGAAGGAAGGGACTGTCTCCTTGGCTGGAGATGGCAAAGTACATAACAATAGACATTCACAGACGCTTAGGAAAATAAGGGTACATGGTATTGACAAGTTAATGTAGGTGCATGGGGCAGTCATTTTGTGTGACTAACTATGGAGACCAGACCTTTGGAAACAACTCTTTACAGAGAGACCCATCAAGTGGGAATGAGAGAAAACAAGAGGGAAGTTTGATAAATTTGCACTGGTGAGCTATTCACATGAATGAGGATATTGGAAGATCAGCTGTATGTGTGAGTCTCTGTGGGAGTGGAAACAAAGATGCATAGCCTTACTCTTTGAATTTTTGCTATGTGGATTTTTTTTTACATAGCTGCCAAGAACTGGGGGAAATAAGGGCTGAGATTAATTGCTATCTCCATTAGCTTTCTAAAGATGTATTTGTTGTCTGATGGTAGGGGGAGTGGGCAGTACAGTTATTCCCCTAACTCTTCTGGAACATGGTAGTTTAGATGTACATCACTCTGCTGGCAAAAAGGGACTAGAACTGTTTCATGGAACATTAACGAGAAAGACAATGAAACGTGTCAGCGGGTAGAGAAAAGCTGCCTCAGTCTGGCACATGGGCTGCAGGGATTCAAAGGAAAGGTTTTGGCCACAGGGCCCAATATGGAATTTCTTTTACAATAAGAGTCTCCAATATTTACACTATACATGATTGCTATTGGGATGATTAATTGTTTGTATTGCAGTCATGTGTGGGAGCTCCAGACAAGTAGAGAGCTGACCTAGAGGAATTACAGCAGGATTGAACTGCCA